CTCAGCAGGAGGAAGATTTTCTTTCCCTTGCTGCATCTTGCTGTCCATCTGAAAGCACGCTGGTTCATTTGCTTGTGGGGAATTTTTGGGACATGAAGGGCAACATAGGGGAGCTTGAAAACGACATGAACCTGTTTTTTCATAATATTGTCTTTTCATGAGAGTTCGCTTCTGCTGGCTGTGCAATTGTAGGCACTTGCTGGGAGCCATGGTCAGCTGAAAGCTCTGGCCCAAGGCAGAATGAGCTTTGTAGCACAGACTTTGGGGCTCAGCTCCTGCTCCTGTATCACCCATCTGAAAGTTTTGCACTAATTCCCAATTTGGCACCAGAGCAGGATGCTCCGAGGGCCATAGGCAGCTGTGGTCCTGTCGCATGTCTCTTTCTTCCCCCTGCAACCCCAGACCTGTACCTGCCCTGTTGCATGGGCAGCCAAGGGGCTCGACAAGCCGGAGCTGCTCACCCAGCCCCTGCCACTTCACCCTCCACAGCACATGTCTTCTCAGTGAAGTCGAATGATGCCGATTAGCTCCTTAAATCACATTGAAATCGAGTGCAGAGAAGCACAAAGCTTCCCGACTCTATGGAAGCAGAACGTCTGGGGTTTATTCATATTTGCACGGGAACGAATTTTAACACTATTTGCTGAAGGGCTCGGTGAGATGCGCCAAATGCTTGCACCAGGGGAGAAGAGGAATCTGCTCAGCGCTAATAGAGGACCTCACTGCTGCAAATGTGTCTGTCAGCTGCTCTGACTCCAGCGTCACAGCTGATCAGTGTAAGATAGGAGCCAGGTCTCTGTGAAACACAAATCCAAGCCGTGAATGGTTGTGAGCTGAGTTTTGATGGTGCTTTCTTTCTCCCCCTAAGTGAAATGAATTCTCCATTTGGAAAAGGTGGGCAGAAGAAGTTGCCATGGCGCCTCTAGGTTGGCCTTTGTCTGAAGCTTGGTCTGGTCATCTTATCAGATGGCACGAGCCAGGCAGTCATAGGTGCATATGTTCATCATTAGAGTGGTCTTTGGGCAAATGCTGGCGAAGCGAACAGCCTTTCTGCCACCTTCTTGTCAGAATGATGCAATTAGCAAGTCTATGTAATTGTGAATGGGCAAGGGGGAAAGAAAATGTTCTCCTGACGTCTCAGTCCAGAGGCAGCAATTGCATGTGTGTGGCTTCAACAGAGGCATAATCAAAAACCCCACCCATTACAAATCATCAAAGTTGGAGCTTTCATGTATCAGTATGTGTGTATGCTTATGTCCTAAATCTTCTTTTTTTTCTCTATGTATCTAGGAGCTAAT